TAATCTTTTTTTTATTCTGAAGTATGTGATAACCATCAATAGACTTGTTTTCTTTGTGCATTTTTTAAATAAAAACAATAATAATAATACTTATTATTATTATTATTATTATTACTACTACTACTACTACTATTATTATTGTTATTATTATTTTGTAACTAATAATAATAATAATCAACATCATCATTATCATCAGATTTTCTTCTAATGTTTTTGATGCTCAAAGTCTCTTATGCTCACCAAGTAGGGCTGCACGATAAATCGCATGCGATATTTAACGCGCATCTTGTCAGAAAGCCGGTTCTGTAATCAGCGGTAAATCTCCATCACGTGCGTGCTTTCACATTGAGCAGCATTAACTACACAGAGCCGTTGTTCACTGACGAGCTGCGCAAAACCACATTCATATTTGCGCGATTTTTTGCGCAGCTCGTCAGTGCAGCCCTATCACCAAGGCTGCATCAAAAATACAGTAAAATGGTAGTATTCTTAAATATTTCTACAATTCAGAATACTTGTTTTACATTTTAAAATGTAATTTATTCCTGTTTAAATATATATTTAAAAAATATAACAAGTTAAAATACTTTTCTATTTTAATATATTATAATTATTTATTCCAGTCCTATTCCAGCATTTATTTGAAATAGAAATCTTTTGTAACATTATAAATGTCTTTAAATTGGATAAAAGTGACATTCAGCAAGGATGCTTTACTAAGTAAGTATTAATTTCTTTCAAAAAACGGAGATGAGTGTCTTAACTATATATTTAGCATTAAAAGGAGCACTTCACTATATACTTAACATTACAATGTTCTGATTGGCTGTGATTGTGATGCATCATGCTGTATTTGACCTTATCCTAACTCATACATGCTAAACTGTATGGAGGATCCAGTATAATAACAAAATTTAGCCTGCATTTACATGGATACTTCATAGCCAAGCATCTTCTACTGATTAATGATTGGATGGTCATTCTATTCCACTCACAATGAGTTTTTATCTTATTCATCTTATTTACCATTATTCAGACTTTTTAGTGTGTGTTTTTGTACTATATCGTTTTATCTTCCTCTAAGCCTTTTTCAATTATTTTATTTCCTCTGGAAAGCAGAAAAACATGAGCAAGAGAGATTTCAGAGTTTATGCAATCAGAAATTTTTCAAAAGTGAGCAAGAAGTCAATATTTCTGCAGGGTAATCTTTGAAAACCTGTAGTCCTGCTTTTAGAAGGAAACTGTCCAGCCCAGTTGCACTGGATCGTTTAACTGTAAAATCTGACCTGCTGAAATCAACACCAACATGACAGGGTGGAGAAGGGTTCAGATGCTTCTGTGACTGGCTGTGTTTACAGAAGAGCCGGATCTTTTTAAGAGGAATAGGAACTGGTTGAGCTCTTTGGCCATGAATCATCCTGGTGGATTCAATGTGGAGGTCATCTGGTGGGGAGGTTTGGCTTCACACTTCCAGTGTGGCAGTTTTAAAGGTCACATATTTTACACCTTTCTGGAGTTTTATTTTAGGTTTTGATGTCCTTAAGAATATATATTTGCGGTATAAGTACCAAAAACCATCTCAATATATTTTTTCAGCTCTTTTCTCGGCCTTGGCCTGTCTAATTAATATTCATGAGCCTCTCTTCTGATTGGCCTGTTGTTTTCTGAGTGACGCACGGCCAGGCCAACCACAGGTAACTAGGGTCAGCTGACGTCACAGCGCTAGCTGGAGGCAGCCCACCAACGGGGAAACTACATGGCTGCATCAACACTAACTGCTGTTCCTGAAACCACGCCTTCTTTCTTTGCGTGCACATTTGGGCGGCATTATGCTAATATTTCCACATAGTGACGTAGATATGTGGGGGCGTGTTAGAACGAGGTGTTTTAGGTAGGCGTGGTTGACTCTTAACTTTTATAAAGAATATCTCTTTGGATTTGAGACTTTAGTCTTTGCAACTTTACAGATCTTCTTTATGCACCAAGAGCTTGTAACACTCCAAAGAGAAAGGAAAACTTGAAATCGCATCATATGACCCCTTTAAGAGATGTGAGACTCATCTCAGCACATTGCACATCTTTATATTCATTTTTTGAGGCAAAAGGGTTTTTTATTGTGTGTTTTCATTGCAAATGAATACATAACCTCTTAGCTGTTTTGACACGCTGTCAAGTGTTTTTTATACTTCAGTTTCGTCTACTTTTGTTTAACTGACACTATATCGCTGTCTATCTCCCACTCTGTGTCTCCCTCTTTGTGTCTTGCCAGACTGTCTTAATTTATTAATGGATCCAACCGGAACTGCGGACTAAAGTTTCTCTTTACCAACAAACAAATTAGTCTTTGTGTGTGAGTCACTTCGGCTCTCCTTCCTCTCCCGGGATTGTGGAGGAGAAAAAAAATGCCGCAATGAAACAAAGGAGACATGCAGTTCCGTGACTCCCAAGTGTAGCTCTGGGGCATTTGCGATAATACGGGAAAGCAGATAATATTTTTTCGTGTAGCAGTCATTTCCATTGTAATTTTGGATGAGCGTAATACACTGTCAGGAGCAAATAAAGATTATTTTTAAACAACGCACTTGCTATTTTTGCCACACCGGTTATGCAGTAACCTCAAATGGGATTTAGAGTCATGATGCGTGTCATTTTCGTGTCAGGAAAAGCGGTTTCCACTCCTGTCAGAATAATACACAGTAGGCAATCTGAGATTGTTGAAATTTTGACCTTCCCGCATTACTCAAAAGTTCACTCATTTAGAGCGTGGTTGTAAAGATAGATTAATAAGGTTGTTTCTGTGTGGGACCATGTGTTCGGGCAGCCGTGGTCGTGTTGTTTTTTTCACGTGGCAGGGAGAAGCTTTTCCATTTGTCTCATAGAGTTCCTGTGATATTGTCTTTATCAGAGAAGGTGACCTAAGCCTCTCTAAGAACATAAAAGGTTTAGCCAAAGAAGCTCATATGTCAAGACTATTCTTCTGCTGATCTCTTTCCCCTTCCAGGACACAGCCTTAACCTGGGGTGGTGGGCGTCATCGGGCAATTTGTTTTGTTATTATGGTGTGAATTACTCTTTTCACTGTAGATGGTCTTAGGGAGTATGTAAACCTTCTTGACCTTTGATAATGTCCCATTTGTTAGGTTCATGCTACTGTTTAACTGCATTATCTTTTTTTGGAATTTGCTTAATATGTCTTTATCACTCGTAAAAACATTACTCATGCAAATGTAGATCAAATTGGTTGAAGTTGTCATGAAAGAAAAAGTCACCCTATCTTTTTTCTAAATGCATGTTGTTGATCTTATTGTGAATGATTCATCATCCATGTATGTTCTATTTTTAAACAAATTTTTAATCTAACTGTCAATCGTCTGGAAAAAAACGTCAAACGTATCCTGGACTTTTCCAATGATTTGGTTTGCTTCAACCCCGTCCCTCCACAATCGACTTCAAGCTTGCATTCATTTTTGAGTGCAGTGCCCACATCTCAAAATCCAATTAAGAACTTATGATTAGAACCAAGTTCCTGCCCTACATTTTTTCCTTTTTCGATAATCTGTTTAATCACAACTTTAAATCCAGTATATCTTTAGTTTTTCCATGTGACATGGAAAGGATTGATAGATTGAAAGCTCTTTCTCAATGCTTTCTTGATGCTTGTGACAGATAAAACCAGAGAAGTATTAATTAATCAAACATGGCCTGTGTTTATATTTTTTTTTAAAAATGCATGAGAACTAGGGCTGCACGATAAATCGCATGCGATGTTTAACGCGCATCTTATCAGTTAAGCCGGTTCTGTAATCAGCGGTAAATCTCCATCACCTGCAGGCTTTCACATTGAGCAGCATTAACTACACAGAACCGTTGTTCACTGACGAGCTGCGCAAAACCACGTTCATATTCGCGCGATTTTTTGCGCAGCTTGTCAGTGAACAACGGCTCTGTGTAGTAGTTTATCGTGCAACCCTAATGAGAACAATTTATAAATATAATTTTAGAACAAGAATCATTTAGACTGTGAAATGTGGATGTTCCATACCAGAATGTAGCTAAATCAAATGATAGTTAGCTTAAATAGATATTTGGTTATTGGCTGATGATATCCAAAAGCCTGTGTGGCCTAAGTGGCGTCAGATGAAAAGTTGTTTCACGTTTAATAGGGAGAGGTGTAATAAAGATTATTAAAGAACCCTTAAAAAGTTATGTTTTGGTCATATTTCTCTCTTTTCCATTCCAGTCTGTGGTCCTCACATTGATATCCGCAATGACATCAGTGAGTTCAAGAAGCTGGAGAACTGCACGGTGGTGGAAGGCTACCTTCAGATACTCCTCATTGGAGACAAGAACAACAACCTCAACCCGGAGCACTTTCGCACCCTGTCCTTCCCCAAGTTGACCATGGTCACCGACTACCTTCTCCTGTTCCGAGTCTCCGGCCTGGATAGCCTCAGCATGCTCTTCCCCAACCTCAATGTCATCCAAGGACGCAACCTGTTCTACAACTACGCCCTGGTCATCTTTGAAATGACCAGCCTGAAAGATATTGGCCTCTATAACCTGAGGAACATCACCAGAGGCGCTATCAGAATCGAAAAGAACCCGGAGCTGTGCTACTTGGACTCGGTGGACTGGTCACTCATTATGGATGCAGAGTTTAACAACTACATCGCTGGGAACAAGCCGTCCAAAGAATGCGGTGATGTTTGTCCAGGTATCATGGATGATAGAACCCAGTGCATTAGGACCAGCTTCAATGACAACTACAGCCACCGCTGCTGGACCTCCAACCACTGCCAGAATGGTAAGAACCCACCAACCATACTTGATCTTGCTAATGATAGATTTATTTCTGGTTTTATTTCTAATGGATTCACATTTGCTGGCATTTAGCTTATCGTTCCTTCAAAGGGGATTTGAATGAATAATGACATGAATGGTAAAACTGAATGAGGCTTAGATTGCATAAGATAAAGCTAAGTTTAGCTAAACTGATGGAGGGATACTGTTTGCTTGGCTTGGGAACTGGAGGTCTGTCTCTCTCTGGCAGGGTCTTGTCAGATAAATATTTGGTTAGTGTAATCTATGTTGTGTTGAGAGAGTTATGACTAGACTGTCCACCAATTCATCAAAGGCATTGACAGTAGCTGAAGACTGAGGGTCCTGAAAACAAAACAAGGATTTCTGTGACCTGAGGTGACGTTCTAAGGAGCACTACGCTAAATCCATCCATAAAAGTGTGCTTTTTGAACCCTAAATTATGTGTAACTGCACTCTCAAATCTCTTTTCATTGCTGTTGAAGTTGGCTGATTTATGCAGTTTTGTACTTTTATTTATACTAGAGATGGATTGATATAATTAGCCAATATTTTGCCACAGGTTCATGGCTCTTCAACGGCTTATTGTGCAGTACTGAAAGACCGATATATTAGCCAGGGCGATTATTTGGTAGTTTTGAGCAATTCTACTGACCGCTTTGTCAGTAGATAGTAATTCATTTCTGTTTTCAATGGTTTTTGAAGTTTCAGTAAATTTTGGATAAAATAAGTTTTCTATTTGTTCCACCAAGTTTGTTTGTTTATTTACATCTGTATTGACATTCACCATTGGAAAACCCATATTGGTTGGCCAATATGGGTTATATGTGTGTGTGTGTGTGTGTGTGTGTGTGTGTGTGTGATATGGTTCCTACACACCTCGTTTTTGTTCCTACACACCTTATTGTTGAGTGAATTATTTTCTGTTTTTTAAATATTTTTGAGGGTCTTTTGCGTACAATTTGTGTACATTTTATTTGTTATTGGCATCAGCTATTAAAAATAGCCGTCGGTTGACCACTAGTTTATACATTTATTTATTTTTTTTATATCAAACATAGGGTTGCAGAGGGGTGGAAAATTTCCGGAAACTTTACAAAAATCCCTGGAATATACAAAAAAATCCTGGAAAGTTTCCAAAATTTCTGGAATATTTCCGAAATTTACTGGAAATTTTCCACCTTTTTGCAACCCTAATCAAACATCCTTTGATAATTTGAGTTTAACTTGTCTGTTGAGTTAGATATTACAATAGTACTTTGATGCTCTAAATGGCCCTTTCTTGTGGATAGGGTCAATAGAATGTGAGAAAATCACCTGGCAAAATATAGAAAATATCTTCTATGATTTCTTATCTCTGTCGTCATGAGGTCAGAAGATATGAATGTCAGTGTGTCCCCTACATCTGACCGGGAATGCCTGGGAAAGTGAACTACCCCATTATGAATGTTTGCTCCCTCTTCCTCTCCCAAGTGCACAAGAATGGTGGGAAAAACATAATGGATGAGAACACCACAGCGCTCTCCCACCCCTGGCCTTCAAGAGACCTGCAGACCGTGCAAGTCCCAGGCTCAGAGAAGCCGTCGCAAAGCTGCCCTCCCTCCCCTTTCCCTCCGCCTGAAAACGAACAGAGGAAATCAACCCTCCTCAGAAACGCGCTCCCTTATAGCCGGATTGTTCGTTTGTTGCTGTTGGAATTCTTTGAATCTGACAATCATGAGAAGGACATGTTTGAGGAAGGTATGGAGATGACGTGCTGCGACCCTACCAGGATATTTGATCCACAGCAGTGGGCGACTCAGAGTGTCCTTTTTTTCCAGTGACTCTCCTTTGCGCTGCTGATACAGTCTCTTCCCGACAGTCCCGCCCACATCGTGTCAGCACTTGCTCCCCTGCACACCTGTTCAGTATGGTAATCTTGTGTCTGAATGCCGTGTTTTTGCCTTTGCAGAGGTGGGGAGGTGTGAGTCACCTGTATCCAAGGCTCAAACAGCCGAACAAAAAGAACGACTGGTAGTCACAGCAGAAAGGATGTACTAATGGTCCGACTGATTGATCTGTGTTCTCCAAAGAACTTACTGGAACAAGCAGTGGGCTGCCACCTGTCCGATTGTGTATGCTTCCCATCAATGTTTCCACATGGAGCTTCAAATGAATCAACAATTTGTCTATGAAAATCACACCCCAGCATTTTCCAACTGTCGCCAGCTTGCCTTGTTCTTAAGGCACAAATGATTGAACCTCATGAGAGGTAATGGCAAGGATAGACGAGGGAACTGAGGGGTGTATAAACTTCCTCCACTGAGTTGTTTTGTCATGTTGAGAATGACGCAAAGCTGAATTCAAACACGTCAACATGAACTCTAAACGGACAGTTTATTTTATTTATTTATTTTTTACACGTTTTGGGTTTTACAATGAATGATTCATTTGAATGAACTTCATATTCATTAACTTATTAACAGTGTAATCACTTGATCTGTTCTAAAACTTCAACTTTTGGCTGATGTCAGCCTCATATAATCCACATATATATATACAGTGGGTACGGAAAGTATTCAGACCCCCTTAAATTTTTCACTCTTTGTTTTTATTTTTCAACCACCTTTCATATAGAAACTTGGAATAGAAAAGAATACTTTTCACAATCAAATCCCACCAAAGTACCGCCTTTATTTTTTTTCCCAATGAAAAACCTTTTACTCTGAAATAGTTCACATTAAAGAATAAAAGTGGGTTGTGAAGACTGGTTCATGTTGACTTGAAGGTTTTTCAAAAAGTTGAGACCATCCTTATAGAAACTAATTCTAAAGTGGAGGAGAATAAGAAGGAATTGCGGGTGATGAAGGCAAATGGTGCCAGACTTGTGTGTGTGTTTTTCATGGAACCAGTTCTTTCTAATGTTTCAGTCAAACCGATTCGCAAAGCAACAGAGAACTTTGACTCTGTGAATTGTTGTTTTGAATCGTTCAAACTAAGCGATTCACTAAAATGGATTGGACTTCTAAACACAAATCTTCAGTGTCAGCTTGATGGTGGCGTAGCCCCTCAGTGTCACTCGGTGCAGCCCGTCTGACTCTCTGTGGAGAACAGTTTTCTCCACCCCTCAGCATAATTGCCTTGTTTTTCTTGTGCGCAGATGTTTCTTCAAGGGCACACAGTGGTTTTGTAGTCAATTTGGATCAGTCCTTTCTCTCTAATTACTGCACCAAGAGTTGCTGTCAGCAACCAATCAGCGATCAGCTCCTGCGTATGTGCGCGAGACTCTGCGTGTTTGTTATGAGATGAGGGTGTCCACAGCAGCACTATTGTTTGCTTTTTTCTGAAATGTAAGACCATTAAAGCATTCCTTGCCTGTTCTTGCATGCGCTTGTTACCGTCACCTCTGTGTATGCATGCGTGTATCTGGAGTCTATGGACTTTCCATTTGTAATGCAATTTCCATTTGCAGTGTTTGTCTTCACGCTGCCTGTATATGTATGTTTGCTAACCTGCTTATGGCTCAGATAATCTAGCTCTGGTGATAAGGAAATGGATTTTGATTTCGCTCAGGAGTAAACTTATTCAAAGGGGACGTGAAAGACTGTTGAGTTTATTTCCAATGTTGTGAACTGTTCAATCAGGCCTTTGAATGTACAAAGCGATTCAACTTGCTGAAAGAGCTTTTATTAGGTACTCATACTCTTAACCGTTTGTATAGAAAGCTGATGTTTGGCATCTAAAGTCTTATGACCACCAATGTTTTATGTTACATATAATAATATGTAACCAAAGCTATTGATTATGAAATTAAACAATTTTTTTTTTTTTTTTTTTTTTTTTTATATTTTATTTTTTTAGTTTGTAAAACGAAATTTCCACTTGCAATCATTGTGATTTGTACACTATTTATGTTAGTTTAATACGTTTTACAGGTATCTTTTTATGTCAACTGAGTATACATTTTTTTATCTTTTGGTATGTAAATGATTTATCCTCTTTGTCTGTTATCTCATTTTAAAAATGTTTATTGACTTATTTACCTCATTTTTTCAAACTTAAAAACTTTACCATGTTCTTGCTATGATGCTGACACCAAACCGGCCAAAAAAAAACAAACTTCAAATTGAGTACGACAACTGAGAATGTTGTTGTAAAGTCTAAAAAGAGCCCCTGGTGGTGACTGAAGGTATGATTATTGTATGTTTGTAATCTGTGTGTGTGTGTGTTTGAGTGTGTCTGTTCTTTGTCTCCAGAGAAGTTTTGCAATGCCAGGTCGGTTGATGGAGGGAATAGGAGGGGGGACTGTAGGGAGGAGGCATCCAACGGTCGTCCCCAGGTCCATGTGAGGCAAAGTGTTGAGGAGAAATGTCACAGAAATGTCAAGTGTACAAGCACAAAAACAAGACTCCTCAGCGAGGGGGAGCGAAACGACAGCCCTCCTTAATCTCCTCCCTTCTGCCCGCCAACCTCTCCTCCCTTCCTACTTATTTTGGCTGTTGTTTTCTTTTTCTTTATGACCCCTCTCAATAGTTTTACTGCCATTTCCTCCCCTCTCTCTCTCTTCCGGGACTCTTATCATGGGCTGTTAACAGCTTTAGCCGTTAGATAGCTCTTCTCATTGTTTGCACTCCTGGCCCCACCACCCGCCTGCCTGTTACTCTAGTGACCCATCCAGTTGTTTGCTCGCTTGTGGCCTTGCTGACATCGCATGTTTGTGCTCTTTGTGTGTGTGTGTGTGCGGGTTTCGTGACTGCACCTACTCTGTGGTCTGGTCTGAATGGGCCCCTCAGGTCACTCTGATCCAGAAAAGCATATCTTCCCCCCGCCAAAAAACACACTCGCATACCCCAGACAGGAGAAGGGAGGGGTGAGGATTGTTGGATAATGGTCTGAGCCCCTTGGGCTTCAGGGCTGCTATACAACCCCAAACAACAACGCAAGCTCCTGTTGTTGTCCCGAAGGCTAGCTGATTTGTCTGATCAAACCTTTTTGAATCCTCTAGGG